TAATTGGATTTACGGTCCCCAATTAGCTCTTTATGGCCGGTCCGGCACACTTCCTCTGCGCGACTCTGCTCCGTCTCCAGTCGCTCCAGTCACGCCTCAGCAGAGTTAACACAGCGTCAAAGCTGTCACTTAGCGTCCGACAAACACACAAAGCCCGGTTTGTCTATTTACAGTCCTTTATTCGACACTTCTCAGAAAAACTCCAGGACTACTTGCAGCCATGACAAACTGCGTCCTTCTCCCTCAAAGAACAGAGAGGAAGAGAGAAAACTCCTCCCAGCTTCGAAAGCTGACGTCAGAATGTTGAGGCATCATGGGAACAACTTAACCTGTTAAGTTCCAAACCCCATACCCCCTCTTGCCTCACATTCTGGCAAGACCCTTTTGAGTTCAACACCTTCCCCATTGCCTTGTGCCCCTTTCTGGCATCTTTCCCAGGCACCTGTTGAACCCCTTCAACATTCCCAGAATCACACTGTGCGAAACTTACCCACGCACCCATGGCCTGATACCTCTCCGGCGGAGCACCCTTTGTTGTCCGAGATGACCGCCTGGGCACAAACAGGGGTGTTTCATCTGAACTCCCTCCTGACCCACTGGGGCCAGCAAGTGTGTCTTCAGCATCACGGGATTCCCCCTCTGATTTAAAGCGGCTTCGAATCCTCTCCATTACACTCACAGGAGAACTAGGCTCGCTTTTGGACTCTCGTTTAACCACTTGTGGAGATGCCCCATCCTGCTCCTGACTTTGGTCAGTGACCTGATCGTCATCAGCAGACTCTTCTTCCTCCTCATCAGAACTTTCCTGCTCTGAATCAGAAAGATATTCTGAAAGCACATCACGCTTGACAGCAGTCTTTGACCTTTTATCCTGCTCATAGAACTCAGCGTGTTTACTGATCAGCACCTTACTCTGATCACCTGATGGGTACGCAAACCTCCATGCACGCGCTTCTGGCTCATACCCGCAGAAGATCATTTTCCGGAACTTGGATCCATCTGGCCCTTGCAAAGCCTTAGGCACTGGCACAGATGCATTCGAACCAAACGTACGCAGAAAATGAATCTGGGGTTTCCTGCCATGCAACAAACCAAAGGGTGTGTCACCTACCAGTGAATTGTAGGTACGATTCCAGGTGAAGCCCACATACCTGATTGCCTCCAGCCAAAACCTTGGAGGTAACCCAGAATCTGCCAGCATCACCTGTGCAGCCTTAACCAGAGCCTCACTTCTAAGCTCTGCCACCCCCCTCTGATTGGGTGAAGTCACTGTGTGACGTATCCCTTTCTTGTGAAAGAACTTCTGCAAAGCAGATCCTGTAAACTGAGCACCTCTGTCACTGGTGACTGCTTGCACATTGGTGGAGAACCTTAGTTCCACCTCCTCAATCCAACCTTTGATCAGCTGTGCTGCATCTTCCTTGGATTTGAGACCATGGGTCCAGGTGTTCTGCGTAAAGTTATCCTGCATCGTCAGCAGAAACCTTGCACCTCCCAGACTCGCTACCCTTACAGGACCCCACAAATCAATGTGAACCAATTCAAAGGGCTTTGTGGTTACCCTCTCCACCTTTGGATAACTGCACCCTTTTACCTTTGCCTGTCTGCAAGTTTCACAATTTATAGCACATCCACATTCCGTAATTTCACAACCTTTGGAGACCTCAGGCAGCACCTGTAGTTCTTCTAGGGAACCATGAGCTGTCCTTGCATGCCAAGCATGGGCACATGACACATGATTGGGAATTTTAGCACGCAGGGCTTGTGCTTTCTCAACCTTCCCCTCACCCCCCAGAGGTGTTTCAAGAACAAAGAGATCATTCTGCCCCCTTTTAACCTTGGCAAGTATCCTCCCTCCTTTGGAGATTGTGCAGACAGCATCCTCGAAACAAACCTTAAACCCCTTTTTTAACAAATAAGGCACAGACAAAAGACAGTGGTGCATCCCTGGGACGGTACAAAACTCCAACGTCTCCTGCAAAACAAACACATGCACATTTGCAACATTAGTTACATTCTTTTTCTGTCCATTTGCGAAAAGTACAGTTTTCCCAGCCGGAACTGCCTTGCAATTCCACATCTCGACAGCAGGAGTCTCTGGAATCAAATTGCAATTTGCTGCAGAGTCTATTACAAAACAAAGCTCAAAGCCTTTCTCACAGCTGTCCTCAAACAAAGCCAGACTGGCTGTGAGTTGATACGTCTCCTCACGTTGTTTGCCACGTCCACCTGACTCAGCCCCACGCCTGGCTGTTTTCCCAGGCTGGTTGCCATGGAAACCCGGCTGGTTCCCATGAAAAGTGTCCTTGAAACATTCCTGCCCAGCTGCCTTCGCTCTCTGTGGGCAGTCTCTTTTGAAATGATTGTGGGATCCACACACATAACACCGACGAGTGGAAAAAGCCTGAACAGAGCTCTCATCTGGCTTGGCCCCCCCTGCAACCGGTGGAGCTGCCTGCGCCAGACCTGCCCTCCCTGAGGCGTCTCTCCTGTTCGTCAGTCAAGCGTCCCGTGACATACGACAGAGTCAAATCTTGGGGACTCATCGACTCCAAAGTTACACATAAATTGTCATAACTTTTGTCCAGAGAGCTGAGCAAAATATAAACCTTCAGCTCCTCTGAGAAGTTGACTTGCAACAGCCTCAACTCATTAAACACAGAGAGCATCTCAGTAACATGCTGCCTGATGTTCCCACCTGGACGCAGCTTCATCTCAAACAAGCGCCTGGTGGTGTGGATTTTTGCACCAGCCGTGGTCCTGTGGTGCACTCTCTCAAGAGCAGTATAAGCTTCATGCGCAGTGTCCAACCCCTCCACAAGGGGCAGCTGTGAACCCTCCAAACTGAGCACTATAGCTCCCAGGGCTTTCTGGTTTTTTCTCTGCGAAGCATGTGCGTTTGCAATATCTGCTGCCGAAGCTCCGACGGCTGGTGGGGGCAGTGGAGGCCCTAGAACCGCCTCCCACAAACCCTTGGCTACCAGCCAGGCCTTCAGCTTTCGACTCCATTCCGCCCAATTCTTTCCGTTTAATTTTTCGAAAGGCACGGCGAATGATTCATGGCTGTCCGCCATCTTCTTCCGTTCTCCCAAGGGGCCCCAAGCTGTACTCACAAATCACAAGCTCCTCCGGCTCCCATCCGTGGAGAAACGATTCCTTGCTGCTCTCAGCTCCGCAGCTCTCTCTTGCCTCTTAGCAACAGGCAAAAATCTCACCGCCTCCTGCCGCAGCTTCTCTGCTTCAAACCGCAGACTTCAAAGCTTTCCGGCAGCCTCCAGTGACAGCTTTACGATCGGTAATTAGGCTACCCATAACCTGTAGAACTTATTGGTTTGGCGTGACCCCCGCTAATTGGATTTACGGTCCCCAATTAGCTCTTTATGGCCGGTCCGGCACACTTCCTCTGCGCGACTCTGCTCCGTCTCCAGTCGCTCCAGTCACGCCTCAGCAGAGTTAACACAGCGTCAAAGCTGTCACTTAGCGTCCGACAAACACACAAAGCCCGGTTTGTCTATTTACAGTCCTTTATTCGACACTTCTCAGAAAAACTCCAGGACTACTTGCAGCCATGACAAACTGCGTCCTTCTCCCTCAAAGAACAGAGAGGAAGAGAGAAAACTCCTCCCAGCTTCGAAAGCTGACGTCAGAATGTTGAGGCATCATGGGAACAACTTAACCTGTTAAGTTCCAAACCCCATAGAAGGAAAGAATGTGTTATCTGCATCTGATCTGGTTAGATCTCAATAGTGTAATTAGGGAAAGTGTCAAGTCCCCTGTTGTCTGCCACATGAGAAGTTATTCTGGCACTTTCACATATGACAGAACTGTTCCAGGAGTAGCACAAAAAGGGAACCTTGGACTGCAACTTCTCAGCTATTTTCAGATAGTTGCAAGGGAGATTTCATTTCAGTTTGCTCCGATAGTTTGCAACTCAGTTGACGTTTGTTCCAATTCAGCAGTAAGCAGTGGGTTTTCCCAAGCACAACAGTGGGACCAGAAAAGTACTTGTCAGACCCGTGATTAGAAATCCACAAGTATGTGGATGAATCCTGAGTTAAACAGTGTAACCAGATCACTCTGCAGTTTCTTTTTGTCTGCTGCCCTTTGCATTTTATATTGTATATGTTATATATTGTTATAGGAATTCTAAGGTAACAATATTTTCTCATGCTGCTAAATTATCAGTGTAATTCAATAAAACTGTTTTGATTATTTTTTTAAAAAAGGAGGGGCTTTGACTTCCAGGTCATCACTTCAGTAAATACTCAATTTTTAGAGGATTAAATGGTGGGTGCCTGAGTTTGCTGTACAAGAACACCTAAAATCACCAGTCTTGTACCTTTCCCTCTGGTTAAGTCCATTCTTCATCAGCTGTGGATCTACTAAATCTACATCATGCCCAGGGCATTTTTGTGATGTATGAAGCTGTCATTGGTGATCACCTCATAGGATCTGTCCATTCTGCTATCATGTTTGGAATCTGTTGATCATTGACAAAGCCCAATACGTTTTTGTATTTCTGGTACAGATTTCCTTTGTCATCAGATAGATGCAATTCTGGTTTTATGATTTTAGCACTCCTGGTTTGACTTGGTAAATGCTTCTTTAGCTGCTGATAGATTTTATCTACAAAGAGGAAATGCATGTGGAATTACAGCACTAAGTAAAACCATCTTTATACAATACTCTGTTTTCAGTCATAGCTGTAGCAGATATATTAGTTCACTGCGACTAGCAGAGCATTTTCTCTTACCAAAAACTTCTACGGAGGTCACTCCCATATTACAGTCCACTTATGCAAATTTTCTACTTTCAAAGGGTCTACTGGACAAAGCTGGCCTTTTGTGTTTCCGAACACTAATCACATACAGTGCCACTGCAAGTGTGACAAGGGGAAGGGACCTACCTAGATCTTTTCCTGTTCTCCTTTCAGAAGCAAAGCTGTTCCTCCCACCAGATAAACCCTTATCCTCACCTTCTCTTTTTCCATTTCATTTCAGGGCAAACGCTATAAAAACTCCTTGGAGACGGTGGGAACTCCAGATTCCAGCCGAGGTCGCAGTGAAAAGAAAGCCATTAAGTAAGTCACAGGAGGAATTATAGGAGTGAATGGACTGGAGGTGCTTGGATCACAATCACTGCACAATGAAGATATTCATTGGGGATGTGTTGGCTGTTTTGCCTTCAGGCAACCCTGTAGCTGAAAAGTCCTAAGCACACGTCACGTGTCTCCTCCACTGCCGTATTGCTCTAATCTTAAGCATGCATATACATATATATATTTATATATATGTCACACCACTGCAGTAGCAGCCAGTGTAGTAGGGCATGGCTACCCTCCCAACATTGGTATCTCTGCAGCGTACCTGGTCAGGACTGAGTGATGGTGAGGTCAGGGCTGCATAGACCATCAGCGGAAGCACCACATTGTCTCTCCCAGTGTGTCCACACAGCCCCAAGCTCTCCTCCCCTCTGTCTCTCCCCAGACCTCTCCTGATGAGTTGCAGTGGCACCAGTGTTGGGAGGGCAGCTTCGCAGTACCACCGCACCAGCTGCCACTGCACCACTGTACATGTGTTGTACACATGCAGCTCCTGATACTGCTTCAGTTTGTGTAATTGTTCCTGTATTTTTTGTAAATGCCCCACTCTTGCGCATACACCTTTATGTTTTCCAACCAGACAATGCTCTTGGCACACCTGTAAATATTTCTCGTCCCAACATTCATCAGAGTAGCACCACTTCTTTTATTACCCTGAAACTTTTCCCTACGAAAATAAGGCTGTTCTCTTTATATCACTCTTACCCTCTCACCATAGCAATCTGACACCTGTAGTAACACCTCCACATCCCAAGGCTCAAAACTCCAAGTGCTAGCCCTCAAAAAGCAATTCTATCCCTATTACATTTCTGCAAGCCTTCCCCCACCCCCCACATTTACTACTTTATCTGCTTCTTTGACATTTCCCCTGGGCACAGCCTGTATTTCAACACATTTCAGACTCTCTCCTTCCCTATACATGTGACGTCAACAGATTCGGACTACCCAAGAGATCAGTACCAAATTGCAGTTCTGCCTTATACGTAGCCATCCACACTTGATATATACCAGTCCAAATAAGAGTTCAGCTTTCTTCTGTTTCTGGGCACGTGATAAATCTCCTGAATGGAAAAGCAAACCATCGATATTTTCTTTCTCCAGGGCTTAGTCTCAGGCGTGTCTGTAGTGTAAAAGTTAGTAAAATCCTCCTGGCCCCTTTTGTGAGAAGATAATTATTTTATTTATTATTTATCTCATAAATTTTATTTATTGCTTGATTGCAAAAACAAACAACAACAACAACTTCAAGGTAGTTATGGATATTCTCTACGTATGTAGATTCCTGAGCCTTAAGACTATGCCCCCACATTTTCAAATTGTGGCAATTGGTTCCAGGCAAAATGCTGGCTGCATAGTCTTCCTTTAGCCTGAATAAATAAATAAATCCTTTCCTCTGAAACAACTCCAAGTCATTGTGGTCTATGGACTTACTCCAGGTTCCTTTGTGGCTGTGTATGTTCACACAAAGAAATGACTTGGCAATGAGTTGTGTAGTAGTAAAGTGGCAGACTCAGCAGTGGGACAAACTGTAAACAGCAAATTTGTCCATGTCACTGTGATTTAAGCCCCTCTGGTTATATGAAAATATTCTCTAGCAGGAAGCTGGGGACTGAGCCAAATTCCACATTCCCACCAATTATATGCTGCTCTTCCTTAGCCTGCTGTGGAAGAGTTCTCTTAAGCTTTATCCTTTTATCAGCTTTCCGATAATATGATAGGGCCCACCCTTCTCTATAAACACTTCTGGGTCTCTTTCTTCTCATTGTCTTACATAAAGAATAGGTTTTCCCAATTTTGCTGCATAGGAACCCCTGCTTTTACTTGAATGTTTCTTTCATTGCATTTTCTTGAGACCTTTACGATAAATATTGTTGAGGACCTACTGTCATTTGGTTTGAATGCTAATAGAGGAGAGAGACCTAGAACACTTATTCTCTTTTATAAAGTAATGTGTGTCACATAACATTTTCTATATATACTTCATCTACATTTGTAACCTAACCCTTGTTAAAACTGTACTTGTTCCCCCAAAATGTTTACAATGTTTCTGGTTTGTTGGCAGGAGATGATTCTGCTCAGCTCCTTGAGCTGGACTTCTTCAAAGTAGATGCTTCCTTCTTTTTGTCCCTGAAGGGTGTGGTGGGTTAAGGGCTATAACATACAACAAAGGGTGTTCTGTGTAGAAAAGATTTATAACCCAATCTTTGTACATGTTAACTTGGACTCAAGGCCACTGATTTCAGTGGGTCTTTCTCCTAAGTAAATGGCGTAGGATTAAAGCCTGACAGTGCATTCCTGTGCATACTTACTTGGAAGTAAGCCCTATTGTTTCCAATGGGATTTACTTCCTAGTCAGTGTGTTTAGGATTTTCACCTAGTTACCCAGTGATTAACTCAGAACTTTCCCTTAGAAGCAAGGAAGAGATGAGCTTATCATGGTATTTGAGTACTGCAGTAGCACATGAAGCTGCTGTGCTGAGCAATGTGGTGGAACAAAACCTTTAAGGTGCCTAGGCTATTCCTTTGACTCATCAATGCAGCTGTACTCATAGCTCAATTGAAGATGGGTCTCCATTTATTTCTTCCATTTAGTTCTTCCCTTTCTTTCACATTGCAACAATTACTTACGATGAGTTGAGTTTATATGAAATTTCTCCCATGATTACAATTCCTTGTAGATGCACACCCATATGGCGAAACTGATATTTTGTCTCATCTTCAGGAATAATTAAAAACTCACATTTCCCGAGAGCATGATTAAGTATCAGTTTTGCAACATGGCTGGTGTTTTGCCTTCCAGTATGATCATACAAGCTAACCCTCAGTTCCTCGCTGCCATCTGTCTATGCGACTGCCAAGTCAAATTTTCTGCAGTACAGGACACTGCAGAGATCTGGCATTTATTCCAAGGCGTTCAGTGGTGACACTGAGATGTTGTGAAATAAGAGAACTTGATTACATCCCATGGAACTATGTGGATCTGGTAAAAAGAGTGTTCCTTCAAAAGTGTGAACATCTGGCACTTTCTGACCTGTATCTCCTCCTGTTTGGTGCCAAGAAACCCACTGGGGTGATGATACGGAGGGCCAAACTGCACAAACTAATTATGTAGCATTAAGCTGCATGTATGTGTTTTCCCCTTATTTAACAAGTGCGGGAGGAGGGCAATTGTCATCAGGACCACAGCATGCACAGAGGTGAAGTTTATTATTTCCTTCTCCAGACACAATCCCAAGGGCAACGCTTCTCTCCCTGCAAGCTTAGAAAGAATATTCCTGTTGTTGCCAGTGGGAGCTTTTGTTCTAAGCCTTATAGCTGCATACAGGGTGCATTTTCATCTTGGACTGTGGTTGTGGAGGGAAGGGATACCTTACCTTCCTGCATACCCTAGTCATTGGGGGACCCAATAAATAAAGAAAAAAACATATTCATGACTGCTTGCGATGCTGTGCCCTTAAAGTGACATCTAGTTTGACCCCCAAACAGAAAGATTGGTGACATTTCAGTATCTGTGCATTTGTGTTGTGCAAGCATTTATGTGTGATTATACATATATATGTGTGTGTGTGCGCGCGTGCACGCACTGTATGTAGATGTGTGCTTACATCTCATATTTTGCATGAGTGAGTGTGTATGTGTGCACATACTTGCATATAGGTAGATACTGCATCCTTGGATGCACAGACCCATCTGTAGCTTGAGTCTCTGAGTAGCACTGCTTTCCGTTAGCTAAATCCTTAGCAGAACCAGATGTGATGAATACAGAGATCTGGGGTCTTGTTCTTTTATCAGAAATGTGTGATACTCACTGTTGTCTCCCTGGTGTCTTTGGGACCCGGCAGGCTGTGTACATTCTGCTCTCACTGGATGGCTATGCCTATGAGTGGGTCAAGATCACCATGATGCAACAGCACTAACCTCCACTAAACATAGCAATATGGAAAGCCTGGGACTCTTCTCTCACATTGCACAGCAGCAGAAGTGTTTCCCTTGCACAGTCCCATTACAGCATTACAGGAGGCCTCTATGACGCCCCTGATCCCAAGCTCAACAAGGCAAGTGACAGATGAGGAGGAAGGCAAGCAGAGATTCACAGTGGAGAGAGGCTTGCCTCTCCACTTTCCCCACTTCCTTGTAACACTTTTCTTTGTGTTTCCATTCCCTGTGAATAAACCTTGAGTTCAGGCGCTTGCAGACTGCTATTTTGGGGTGGGATTCAATCACGTCCTGGTAAATTCAGGTTGTGTGCGTATAGTTGATTGCGAAGTTCTGCGCAAGAAAATAAGAAGAATGCACTGGAAAGTGTGGGGAAACGCTTTCTGTGAACTCAACTCCCAAGACAAATGCTGAATAAACAGGTCTCATCTGGGGGAAATGCAGTTACCCTTTATCCCAGGTTTTTCATTTTCTCCTCTTATGTGTCTCAAGAGGCCAGTGGAAAGCCTTTTCATCCTCAAGCCCGGAAGGAGGACAGTTAATGAGCAGCGAATGGACTGCGCACAGAAGTGTACCCTGGAAGGAACCTTTGATGTCTCCAATAAATTTACCAAAGAGCCACTTGACTTCAAAGACCATTGTTGTCAGATCTCAGTCCTGTGAAACAAGTGCTAGGTAGCCATTTGATGAGCTCTAAAATCAGGAGAAGATGGTTTAGTCAGGCTCTATCAGATCATAGAGTGGGAGTCATGGCCTATTTAGAGAATATTGCCAGTGCACAGCCTCTAATTCAAGACAGATCGCCCTCCCTGGCTCCTTCTGCACAACTGAGCAGAAGATCCATGTGAGGACATGCCACATCCCTCAGGCTGCGTGAGGCCCTCTTCTTGATGACAAGCATCCAGAGTCATCTTTATTATTACTTCCCATGCTCCAGGCACAGATCCTGGCAGGCATGGGGAAAGGGTTCAGAGGCCAAAGCCTTGCTCAAATTAATTCTCTCCCAGCGATTTTCTTGAATTTCACTTCAATACACGTGAACAAAATCCCATGGTTTTTATACCGCTCATGTGCGCCACATTGCTATACACTTGATAGAATTACAACACTCTCCTCCAGTGCCTCACAGGAACCATCTTGGTGAGTCGCTCTCCTTAACCTGTCACTCAAGATTATTTGCTGCTTCTCTGTTACATTTATCTCTAATCTGATGCATGCGTTTTGCACAGAGAACCACTTGGAAGAGATTATATTCTCCCCCTGCAGAAGCAGCAGTAGGTCCTGCCAATATTTTGGGGTTGGGACAGAAATTACTACTATTTGTTTTTTCTATAAAAAAAGAGAAAAAGATGCTGCCATTGTGCTAGGTGCTATTGCAATCCTTCTCTAGAAGGCTCCATATTAGATGAAGACTGAAAAATGAGTAGTGCACGCAAAATGGCACTACTTTGTCCTTCCCAGGAGGCAAAGTGGAGGGCCTGAGAAGGCAAGGTGTAAGGCCGTCTGAGGGAAACTTCTTTAACTGCACGCCATCTCTCTCTCTCTCTCTTTCTTTCTCTTTCTCTCTTTCCACCAGATTCTGGAGGTGCCTGCTCCTGTCTTCCTCCAGCTTTACCTCCTGTTCCCACCTGTCCCTCCGTGTGTGTGTGTGTGTGTGTGTGTGTGTGTACACATGTGGGTGTGAGGCACAGAGCTTACCTTCCACAGGAGGAGAAATCACCACTCTGACCTCGCTGTCTCTCATTTGGGGTTTTTTTTTTTCTCCTTCCTCCCCTCGCAGGAATTTAGATTCTCTCTCTTGTATTTCCCTTTTTTATTTTTATTTTTCTCCCCTCATCACCGGCTGATGTAGTGATCTAGACAGAGACTTTTGGAATAACAATGACAACACAGTGCAGCAGAAATGGAGCTCCTACCCTCCCAAGGAGTTTATACTAAACATATCACCTTACGCCCCGTATGGTGATCCACGACTTTCCCTCAAGTGAGTCTCTCTTTAACTGATTTGATCATATATAGTGAGTATATGCACACCCTTCTTCCAACCTCCCCCTTCCTGCTTTCCCCTTCCCCTTCCCCTTCTTCCCCCTTCTACCTCTTCCCTCACACTCCACCCCTCCCCATGGACAAATGGCCATGGAGACGAGCAACCCCTCCTGCCCTCCCTCCCTCCCTCCCTCCCTCCCTCCCTCCCTCCCTCCCCCTTTCCATCCATTAATTCAGTGGTTCCCAACTACTGGCATTTGCACTGGTACTTGGTATGACAGACTTGTGTGGTTGATGCCCTGGATTCCCCCTTTTCTCTGGTCCCAGTGCAATATAGTGTTCTTCTGGATTCGTTGGCATCACGTCAAGCTCCTGACTATTAACTCTCAGGGTAGGCCTTCCAACCAAGTGGTTGGCTTCTGTACTCTGCTTTAAACCCAATACATACAATAGTCACATAAACCAACCCAAATGGAAACAATGGCCAACATTGCCCAAGGCCTTAGAGCCCAAACACAAACTTAGAGCAGTCCTGTTGTCCTGGAGGGGCCTTGGCTCAGACGTTCGGCTTGCTAGGCTTGTACGGTGCTCCCAATGGGTTGAGAACCACTGCCTTAAGCAGCTCCCTAAGAGAGGCTGGCACCTTCCCCTCCCTGCCCCCCGCCTCCAGTTCCTTTGGCTCTCCTACCCCTCACACCCCTCCACCTTCTCTGCAGCACAGGACGGGGTTGCCCGTTTTGGTCACCCTCTCAGCGTGTTCTCTGCATCTGCACTGTGTGGTGATGGTGATGGCAGTGGTAAGCTCTCTCACTAACATGGCTTTTCTCTCCCTTCGCCTGCACAGTGCCTCTCCCAATGGCCTTATCCATTGTTCAACCCTTCTTTGTCTATGGAATAAAGTAACTTTTGGCTGCAATCATAACCTCACAACCAAGCCAGGGCTGCCTGCTGTCTTTGCCTGGGACAAAGGCTCTCCTTGGCCCTTTCTTTTGCAGTGCTGATGTCTCTCTTTCTCTCTGTCTGTCTGTCTGTCCCTTGTCTGTCTGTCTCTGTCTCTCTCTTTCTTTCTTTCTGTCTCTCTCTTTCTCTCTCTCTCTCTTTCTCTTTTTCCCCCCTCCTCTTTGCGTGACCTCCTTCTCACTACCACCGGCCACCTTCCTCTCCTGACGTGCCCCAGTGGCACCTTGTTGTCAGGTGCAAAGTTGGCTGCTTCAGCCACCTCAGGATTGGCTGGGGAGCGGGAAGGACGCCACGGGGAGAGGCAGCAGCTCCGAGAGGACGGCATGAAGAGCAGCGTGTCTGCCCACAGCGAGCCCAGCATTGGGAAGGCGGGGAGAGGTCGATGGCAAACGGTGCAGAGCCACCTAGCAGCAGGGAAGCTCAGCCTATCCAAGTGAGTGAGAGTACATTACAGGCCTGGCCTGGCCTTGTGACGCAGAAGTCCTTGTAGCTAGGGATGGGCTGAGGGCGGGGGCAGGGAAGGGGAGGGGGAGAAACCAAACCCAGCTACCATCTTGGTGTTAGATTCAGGCAGAGCAGAGGAAAGCATAGGTGATGGTTGTGACACCTGATGGAACAGTCTGCTGTGCCCTGGGATCAGTTCTGTTGTGCAGGAGCAGAGGGCTGTATTACACACACACACACACACACACACACACACACACACACGCTGGCTTCATATGGAAGTAGTCTTGAGATTATGCAAATCAATAAAAGAAACAGAATTTTGCCATATGAAAAAGGATTTCACCTTTAGTAAGTGTTATCACTGTGTAATCCTTAGTTGGCTAATTTATAATACTAACCAATTAAAGAAGGGACACTGGTGGCACTGTGGTCTAAACCACAGAGCCTAGGGCTTGCTGATCAGAAGGTTGCGGTTCAAATCCCCGTGACGGGGTGAGCTCCCATTGCTCAGTTCCTGCTCCTGCCAACCTAGTAGTTCGAATGCATGTCAAAGTGCAAGTAGATAAATAGGTACCGCTCCGGTGGGAAGGTAAACGGCGTTTCCATGCGCTGCTCTGGTTTCGCCAGAAGCGACTTAGTCATGCTGGCCACATGACCTGAAAGCTGTCTGTGGACAAACGGCGGCTCCCTCGGCCTATAGAGCGAGATGAGTGCGCAACCCCAGAGTCGTCCGCGACTGGACCTAACGGTCAGGGGTACCTTTACCTTTAACCAATTAGAGGTTAAAGGCTCAGGAGAAGAGAGCTATGACTCTATTAGCAGCTTTCAGTGGACTGCCCATCAGTAGATAAGGGCTTCATGCTAGGTCAGGCCAAAGGGCTGACCATAGCAACTGTAGCATTACCTGCGCTATTAGATGATTCTGAGTAAATTTACTGTGAGCTACAAGGTGATCCTAGTGTGAGCTGTCCAGAAGTGTAAGACCAGAGTGTGATTCATTCCAGACCTTTTTATCTCTCACAGATGCTCCCTGTGTCTTGAGCAGAAAGATCCCATAACTGTCTTTATTAGTGGGCTTATCTTCCATTAGGTTTCCAAACAGATCTTCCTCTTGACACTACTGAATGAGCATTCCTATGTGGCTTCTCAAAACCAATGTGGACTCAGGAAATGACTGGTAGTTCATTTGTCCTGTCAGGTGCCTCATTCCTGACATCTAAGGAGCTATCCTATTGAATCCATGTTCTCAGCAGGAGACCAAAAGTCTTAATATTAATTCATATCTAGATTAGTCCTAGACATTGAAGCATTTTCTGACTAAATGAAGTTTTCATTGTGGAGTAAACTAATCTGTCATATACATCCCTCATAATGAAGATTTTTGTGACTGGATTGTCCCTGTATCTGGCATGTGTGTTTTTGTGATGGAGCGCTACTTTGCTTTGTCTGTCTGTCTGAGATAGCCCACCTGTCTGCTTGCACAATAGCCTTGTGATAGGAAGTGGGATAAGGTACCCACAGGTATGCCAGAGGGCCAGGTGTAAATGGTACAGTCCCTACAGCACTGGGACTGCTTCCCACACCGCAATTACCCTTGATAGAAATTTATATAGTCTGCTGGCTCCAGGCCTAGGAGAGCCAATTTTAGTTTCCTGTGACTGAGAGGTTGAAAATTGGACTAATTTAGGATTTGATAGAAAACTGAAATGAGGTCACTGCATGGAAAGGTCCATTTCTGCCTCATGCCTGGCAGCAGGGGGGTTGGGCTTAGGGGCTCAGTACATGATCCAAACAAGCTCACTGGTAGCAGATGCATGCAGAGCTACCTGAATAATTTTCCAAGGCAAGAAAAGGGGGGTGTTGGGCTCTTTGCATATATAGGTTTTCACAAGTCCTTCCTTTCCTTTCCTTTCCTTTCTTTTCTCTTTCTCTCTTGCTCTTCCTCCTCACTCTTCTTCTCTTCTCTTCTCTTCTCTTCTCTTCTCTTCTCTTCTCTTCTCTTCTCTTCTCAACACAAAAAGATTCCACCACTTTGCCATTATGTCCCTGGCATCAGCATTTCTTTGCTGTTTTTGGTGGAGGTGGCTTTCAGGTCAGGCCAGCAGCAAGTAAGGAACGCTCGAACCCTTCTGCCACGAGGTCCTGGTTTCTGTGCCTCCTTGGTTAAACCTAAGAACTAGGTTGGCTTTAATTTCTACACAAAGTGGCCTGTGAAATATTTTGGCACAGTCAGCCCCATCTGGCTGCTCTAGAGTGACTGCTGTCAGATGCTCCACCCTGAGAAAGCAGGAGGGCTTGGGGAGAAGCAGAGCTGGGAAGCAGTAAGACTGGTGGGTGATCGGCCGCCTGTGCACCTCTCTCCTGTCACATGTTGACACACCTGCCTCAGGGATTGGCCGTTTCTGTGAGATACTCAGACATGAGGCCAGCCATGTCCTTCGGGGTCACACCCAAAGGCATCCTTCAGAGCTTAACCGTTATGCCTTCAACAGCCTGCTTTCTCAGTCATCCTGTTGTATTACATGCCTTTGTCATTTATTGTACACATCCCTTTCCTGTGCACTTGTTTTCCCACTCCTAACTCTGGCTTTGGCTTAAACTGCAGGCAGGGCTGTTCAGAAATGGTGTTTTGAAATTTGAAAGGAAGGAAAGCCAATTCTCTACTGTGGAAAGGCAAATCAAGCACTCAGAACAAGTTATGCGATTCAGTAAGGTGGATGCAAATCTGCACTCTGTACTTGAACTCGGCTTTCTGCTAAAATTTAGAACTTGGGGCAAGGGCAAGAGCAGATGTGGTGGCAGGTAACTGAGAAGCAGGAAGATGATTAAAGGTCACAAGAGAAGGATGGCTAGCTATGCATGCCATAACACTCTGCCACCCAGTAATGCCAGTGAGCTCTTAGTTCTAATTCCACAACATAAAGGCTTATAAAGCATTTCTAAATAAATGAAGGAAAAGGTGCATAAGTCAATGGTAAAGCACGTGTTTTATGTGCCGAATATCTCAGGTTCAATCCCCAGCATCTCCAGATAGGGTTGGAGGAAGCTCCTATCTGAAACCCTAAACAATAGATGAAACAATAGGGGGACCTCAGTATAAGGCAGCTTCCCATGTTCCTAAAAAATGTTCAGGAATCTAAACCCTTTTGCTCATATCAAATTCCACCTGGAATTCTGCAAGTGCAGACCATCAGAAAATGAACAGCCCTGACCATGAGGCCTTTTTTGTGAGTACCTGCATGCCTTCCCTCCTGTCCTTTCATCTAACAGTGTGATCAGCTATGTCTGTTCTTCTCAAGTCTTTGGCTGAATGGTTAGCTAATATCTGCATTGTGTTTCTGAATGTGTGCTCAACCACTTGTTCTGTGTGGTTAGCTGTGGGGCTCTGTCATGTATTTTTGACAGCAATCTGCACTTCTTGTGTTGTCTTTCAAGCCATATGCTCTGTCCTGTGCTTCACTGTCCACAGGCTACAGACCATTCCTACAAGGCTCTCTCACACATCTGTAGGGGCGTGGCCAGTAACTATACATCAGGGATACCCAATGTGGTGCCCTCCTGATGCTGTTGGAGTACAACTCCCGTCATCCATCCAAGCTGGCTGAAGCTGATGGAAGATGGTTAGCCCAACAGCATCATGAGGGTACCAAAGTAGCTACCTCTGCAGTAAGGCATAGCTATACCAAACTATACATCATGCATCCACTCTCAGGAGGGTAGAGGACACCTCACTGTGATGTACTTCAGTCCTGATTTTGAGGGCAGAACAAGGCATGCATCTTCAAACACAGGTCACACTGAAAAAGTAAGTGATGGCAATTTCAAGTGGAGGTGTGGGAGCTTACTCTTTGCCTTCCCCACCCCCCCTCCCCCTCCCCACCTGCTACCATGCAACCCAGCTTCCTTTTTCCTAGCTGTGGTATGAGACCAGAATGAAGCCCAGATAGGAGGAAAGTGGCCTCGGAAGATGGAGGCACAGTGATGGAATGGACAGATGCCAAAGATGGCAGGACTCATGCTCTTTTCATAGTTTTGCAGAAAAGAGAATTTCAGCAGGTGTAGCTTTTATGACAAGCTGTTGAAATTCCCTCTTCTGCACAAAAGGACAGAAGCTCTTTTGCTCTTTTGCATCTGATCACTCAAAACAGTGTATGGAGGAAAGTTTCAGCACCCCTCTCCCACTCACCTCTTCTTCTGGAATCACACACACACATTGTGTTGCAGCTGTCTGACAGTGACACATGTTTGAAAACAGAGGCCTGCAACCTTCAAGTTTAGTTCCCTTCTCAAACAGCTCCCCAAATTTCACTGGAATGTTTCATGTGAGAGAAGACAATATGGCAACTTTCAGGAGCATAAATACTGAGAAGTTGTCCACGCCTGGCCTAACAAATCCAAGCCCGACATGGCTATTGTAATTATTACAACTCCCTCAGTTTGCCACCTTTTAGTGGACAGGTTTCTGTTCCTTTCACTGCTACGTAACAGGCAAAAGTGCAAATCCCAATGCCAACTTTGGCACACAATAGCAGGAAAAGCTACAGCAGTTTCCTTTCTGACTACCTTGCAGCTGTTAAAGGTGTAGAATCCTGTCCGGAAAAAGTTGGCAACCCTATTAAGTGTAACTATGTGCTCTGGAAGACAAAGCTACCTGTATTCAAGATGAGAGTAGGGAACTGCTACAGCCTCATTTAAAAAATAAAACTTGAGCCCTGGAGCATGCCACCAGCTTGGCCATCAGTGTCCGTGACACCATTCCTAGGACATGTGAGAGTTCCTGTTCCCACTGCCACTTGGGTGAGGTGTGCTGATTCAGACACAGCCAATGGGGAAAGTGGTTGTTGGGTGCGCCGCATGTCACAGGCAGCAGCAGCACAGGCACCAGGGGATTTGCCTTCACAAAGCAGCCTAATTAGTTCGGAAACGAGAGTTGGTGTTCTGAGCCTCCTTACAAGCAAAGGAGCACGGAGAGGAGAAGTTGCTTCGCAAGCGATCTCACACTGAGCTCAAGGACTGACAAGCAAGGAAGGCCGCAAAATGGCTACAGGGCGGGGGCTCCATGCTGCTGGAGAAGCTGAGGTGCAGCTGCAACCCCAAATGACGGCTTGCTGCTTCCGAAGGTGCCTGGCAGAGAGAGTGCTGTGCTGGGGCATCTTCTCTCTAACTATCTGCTTTTCCTTCCTCCAATTTTGCCCCTTTACCTTCTTCTCCTTTTTCTCCTTTCCCTCGCCCTTCACCTCCCTAAGTTTTGAGGATTCCACCATGTCCACAGCCACTACCCTTGAGTATATCCCCACCTCAGCAGGAGACCCGAAATGCCAGCGCCCGCGCACCCTCATGCGCCAGCAGAGTCTCCAACAGCCACTCAGCCAGCACCAGAAACCCAACCACAGCCAGCCCACCACCAGCCAGAGCCTGGGCCACCTGCAGTCCCACACCACCTCCACCAGTGGCAATCCCCGGGGCTGTCGGAGCGCGCAGTCACGGCAAGGGACCCCTGCTGGCTCCAAGCACAGGACAGGTGGTGGTCGTAGCCGCTCCAATCCTGGGAGCTGGGACCATATGGTGGGGCAGATTCGGAATCGAGGCTTGGATATGAAGTCTTTCCTGTAAGTTATCTTTCTCTTTTTCTCTCTGCATGTTCTTGCACTTGTTTGTTGCTCCATTAGTTTTGAGCCCTGTGTTGAGACAGGCAGTTGACCCCCCCTGAAGGCAGCAGTGTGTGAGAGACAGTCAGCTCGTACTGTCATGCAGCTAGCTCATCACCAGCTGAAGGATCAGCAATCTCCTTCTCCCCTTTGACACCACCCAAACTGTCCAGTTTCACATTCCAAACTCTAATCTTCTTATTTGGATCGGTTCGCATTTCAATGTGAAGCCACCCAATTCACCCTTCTTGGAACACTTGCAACCTGAAACACAGCTGTCCTTCAGAATTCATACTTCTCTGGATTTTTGGATGCAATTCTGCCACCAAAAATGTGTACAAAAATATGTATATTAGGGAAAAGTGTGCAGAAAGTATGCATATATTAGTGAAAGTAGCAAAATGCATGACATTCTGAAAAAATGCTTTAAAAATGTGTGTATTAGGAAAAATTGGAAACAAAGATGGGTATGTTACAAGAAATGCACACTAACATGTTGATGAATTTTTAGGAGAACTTCATTTTATGTGGCATAATAAGACTGGATAAATTCAAAGTGAGAAAAACAAAGTGGAGAAATTTGTCTATTCCTAATCTGATATGAGGTGGAGAGAAGGACTACCTTAACATATAAGGGTCTCCTCCTCTGTCTTCTTCCATGTTGGAATTATTCTAGTAGCCATTGCTTTGTTGGGTTCCTCAGCTTTCTAATTATATACAGTGGAATCTCCAGCTACAACCATTATTATTATTATTATTATTATTATTATTATTATTATTATTATTATATAGCGCCCTTCATCCAAGGATCATAGGATGGTTTACAATATAAAAACACAAAAATACACACCATAGTAACAAAGAAGAACCATACCACCAGCAGCCCCAACACACACACATTTTAAAAGGTTACAGATTATTTAATCAGCCAAAGGCCTGGGAGAAGAGGAATATTTTCCCCTGGCACTTAAAGATAAGTAACAAAGGGGTCAGGGAGAGCATTCCACAAGCAGGGAGCCACTGCAGAAAAGAGCTGTTCTCATGTTGTCACCTTCTGGACCTCTCACAGAGGAGGCACAGGAAGAAAGGCCTCAGATGATAATTGCAGGGGGGGGCCTGGGTCAGTTCGTATGAGGAGAGCTGTTCTCCTGTTCATTTAACAAACATAGATATAACCATTATAATGGTTCAATTGTTATCCTTTCTGAAAATAAGAACATTTGATGTTATAACGTTTGTTTTGCCCCATGGTCACTTCTGCCATGACACAGCCTGGACCCATGTACTCTTAGCTCTTGGCACAGTGTAATGGAAATAGATCCTTTAAATACAGGGGTCCAGTCTCAGCATAAGGACTGGATTAGATGACCTTCTAATTTCTTCCATTCCACAGCTATGTTAATATTGTAGCCCATGAGTGCAGTTTTCTGCTTAAGCTGAGCAACCGGGGAATGTGGTATGCAAAGTGGGTGAATGCATCCCATCCCCAAAAGTTCAAATGGAATTTGCAAATGATGGACCCTTGGCCACTTTAGGAGTTTCATGGTTGAGCAGTGATTTGAACCCAATTTCCCCACATCCCAACCTAGCGCACAGCCCCTAGCACAAATGTTGCCTCTTTACGGGAGAAAGCTGCCTTGTAACATTAAGGAGAGATTTTCTCCCGTTCTCCTGCACCGAGGTTTTCTTTACATCACTGCAAAGCTGACAAACCCTCCCAGAAAGAGGTGACTCTTCAGTTCCCCTTCACAAACAGGGGTTTGGTCTTTTTATCCACCAAATCCCTGCCTATCGGTCCTTCAGATCCTCCTTGCTGTGATCTGTAAAGGCAGCTTTGTCAGAGCGGCTTGAAGCGTGTGATTTTTAATCTGTCTTAAATACTTTCCCTGTTGGTGACAGCTTCTAAATTCCAGGCGCCAATGGTTAAGCTGAAGCCTTCACTGTCACCTTATCTAGGAATTTGACAATGTTCCTTACTTCCTTGCAGGAGGGGGATTGTTGCGCTTCTCTTTGCCATAACGTGAGCCAATATTTGCCCGTGCTTGTAGTAATTTTTACAATTAGCCATTCATCTGAATGGTACATAGGGAATTGAAGTTGTGGTGTGTTTAAGCTTCAGGGAGGGCATTATACTCTTCAGTTGGTGGGATTTTTCAGCGCGGCTAAGGAAGTCCATGGTGAGAATTTAGAAGAAGGATAGCTGTGGGCCAGGCACTGCCGCAAGAGGACTTGGTAGATCGTAAGATTCCCAGCTCAACCACAAACTCTCATATATACAAGCACATATGATTAACAGTAAGTTAATTTATTTTAGTTACAGGTAGGTAGCCATGTTGGTCTGCCGTAGTCGAAACAAAAAATTTAAAAATTCCTTCCAATAGCACCTTAGAGACCAATTAAGATTGTTATTGTTATGAGCTTTTGTGTGCATGCACACTTCTTCAGATACACTGAAACAGAAGTCACCAGACCCTTGAATTCTTATCTCATTATACATGATAAAACTATTTTTAGCCATCTCACCCCTTGCTTTTTCCTGTAAGACCAATTGCAGTCGTTAACAGTCGTCAACAGGTTTATCACACCTATCAGCCAGTCACCCATTCCAACCACCCTTCTGCGTAATACCCCTCCCCACCCTCTAACTATATATAAGGGTCTGGTAACTTCTGTTTCAGTGTATCTGAAGAAGTGTGCATGCACATGAAAGCTCATACCAATAACAAACTTAGTTGGTCTCTAAGGTGCTACTGGAAGGCATTTTTTGTTTATTTTGAATGCCACTGGTGCTGTGTGTGCTTTCCGCATGGGTTTACAAACTACATAGAGCTACATAGAGTGGAATGCCACCCAAATAGTTACCTGAGGCAGTGTGTGTGATCAGGGACCTCACAAAAGGGACTATGGACAAATAATTGTTTTTTTTTTCTTTTACTTTAGCATTCTTAGCTGTGATATTTTAAATGAAGCCAAAATCAGGCTAATCTCATGATATTTTTGTGCTACTTCCTCAACCCACATGGGTGTGGCTGCCATCATTTTATCACTAACTCCAAAGCAGGCAAAAGCACTATACTTACTGCTCAGGGGTGTTTCCTTGCCTGGCCATTCCCTCCTTGAGAGCACCTACCAAATCACAGTAATGATAAGGCTACCATGAGTAACATTGGAATAAGGTGAGCCAAATGAATATTACCTATTTAAAAATTGCACTTAGTGGATGAAGAATAAAGTAAAATAAAATTAGAGTTTTTATTTTAAAAATACCACAAAAGTATGTAGAAAGTCAAAACACTGCAAAAGATAGTTTGTTGAGCGGCAGTGCTAAGAAGCTTAGGTAATATTTTCCATTGGTTCAAAAGTCCATGATTACGATAAAGTGTGCTAAGACAGAGCATCAAAGAAAAATTCAACCTTGGCTCTAAGCTCACAATAAAGCCAAATAAAGGACAAATAAGTAGGACAAGAGCACCACCTGGGATCTTGCTAGGACCTCCTTTTAATTAGCTGAAGAAGCAACATCTCCAGTGCACATGATCCCTTAGGTTCATAACAGGTTGACTCTCTTACAGTATGATCCTAACCACACAGAGGTACACATCCTATTGAATTCCATGGGAATTGCTCCTGAGTCAGTTGGTTTAACATTGTAGCCAGGAGTGTCCCAATTACCTCGCAATGCAGGACTTAGAATCTCATTTGAAAAAAGCTCCTCAACACTTTTGTATTTGTAGGTGCACTGGGTTAAAATAAGGAGGATTTCAGTAATTATAAGTTCCAGGAAAGGAGCAGGGAAGAGGTGTGTACTCAACAAAAGTGAAATCATGGCTGCCCAGGAGGTCCAAATATCAATAAAAAACTAAGCAAAAGTCCTTTATGTGACAGCTCCTTTATAAAGGTTGATGCTAGATAAAACCACTAGTATATTGGTGCTGTTCCCTTACCACTAGTGGCGGTTAAGTCGCTTTGATAATACTTTCCTGAGCTCACAGGGACATGATCAGTTGTTTTTAGCTGCTGTAGTCTTTGGTCATATAGACACTCTCAGTAAGAGTTAATAAACAGTAGTGGTATTCAGCTGATGCTATAAAGCCTGCCAAACTGCTGTTGAGCCTGCGGCATCTCTGTGACACAGAAATTAGAAACAATTCAGAGGAAAAAAGCTATGGCTATCAGGATGACAACAATTTTGGAAGGCAAATTGTATGAGGAAGGGCTGAAGGCAACTGATAAATTTATAGCCTAGTGACAGGAATGTTAGGGAGAGAGGGGCACGTTATTCAAAAGTATGTCGGAAGAGACTGGGAGTTCCTCAAAAGATTCAGGGAAGATTGGATAATACACAAGGAGAATTTGCTCCAGGAAATATTTAAGTAAAACACTGGCGGAGCTATAAAAGCAGCTGAGCGATGGAACATGGGGTGCTTAGGAAGGCTGTAGAATTTTACCCCATGGAAGTTATTAGGGAATAGCTTGGTGCAGACCTCTCAGAGCTAGGTTTTGCTAAGCCAGAGCTAGGCAGTATTTCTTCCAGCCCTATTTATGTGGCTCTGTGGAACCGAGAGTTACAGGTGCCACGTAATACTTGTTACACAGTTGTACAAATATTATCTCTTGGCGTGGCAGCACCTACAACTAAGGAACGCTTTGCCTGTTGACACCAGGCAGGTGCCTCTGCTGTTCAAGCACCTGCTTGAAACATTTTTGTTTAGGCCCATCCAGAACCATAGGTGCTGACATGTTTTAATTTCTTTTACTGTTATTTAAATTATCCTTAATGTTTTTAATTGATTTTAACTGTTTTTATTGAAAAATTTACTAATCCTTATAAAGCACTTACTACAGTACAATTTACTACAACTTACTACAGGGACACGGGTGGCACTGTGGGTTAAACCACAGAGCCTAGGACTTGCCAATCAGAAGGTCGGCGGTTTGAATCCCCGTGACGGGGTGAGCTC